AGGAAAGTAGGGGAGAAGAATGGGGGGAGGACATGTGGGAAAGGGTCATGAGCGGGATTTGATCTCATGGCCTCCACATTGGGACTGTAGCCCTGCACATGGGACGCCAGCTCAACCAGGTGAGCTATAGCGGCGCCCCAGTGGTGTAATTTTTTAATAATACACCAATGTATTTAATGTTAAAATGCATTTTAAACTTGCCACCGAGTTTTGGAAGTCAGAAGGTTAAGAAATGAGGTCAATGCGAAAGACAAAGGTATTGATAATTATATTGAACTGGGCTTACACTTGATCAAAGTGCTCTTAACATGCTGAAATATAACATCTCTAAAGACTAAATTGTTCCATCTAAGAATCTGGAACCAGACATGTATTATTTTTTTCTTGTAATATATAAGAAGCTATTAATCAGCTGTGGTTGATTTTCTTCTGATTGACTGATAGACTAAGCAGCTAATTTGTAGTTACCATTTGTCCTACAATACCATGTTAAAGCGTCACAGAGCTACCATAGCTGCTGACCAGTTGACTTTCAGCTGAAACAGCCTGAAATCTTATTGGTCTTCAGTCTGAATTACACAGCACTGACTGTCTCTTCCTTCTGGCCTGTAAGTTCAGTTAAGAGTCTTTAACTGGAGCTGAAGTAGACAGCGCTGACTTAGGGGATATTTGCTCACACATACAGTCCTAAGGCACTAATTCACATCCCACCTGTCGCACACAGCTGCTTCCTAGAGATCCGTCCTCCTCTACTGTCATGCACTCCTGGTCATCAGCCTCTTAAGAAAAGGCCACAATGATTTCCCACATGTGGAGTTTTGTTTGTGGTCAAATAATAGAGATGTCTTGCAGGACTTTGTCTTTTTCGTTGCCATAAAAAGAAAATTCCCTCCTGTTTCTGTCTCACTTTCTTTGCGGCCAGCCGGCTCACTCCGGACGAATAGACCACTCCCATAGCCTCCTCCAGCAGCACGCTTCAGGTGTCCATGGCAACCAGAGTCTTGGTGATGCTGGTAGCCCGCTGCCACAGCGGAGCGCCAATACCCAGAATTCTCGACTGCAGGGTGACAGCTCCTTTGGTCTGGGTGGTCCAGGAGCTTCTGGAGGTGATGGAGCCGATCACGCACTAGATGTAAGTTCAGTTGCAGGACTTAAGTAACTTCATGATCAGTCACATTTCTTATGTTTCAATCATCTTTTTCAATGAGCAAATATAATTTGCTTGAAAAGAAGAGCAATGGTGGGATTTTTCCTAGATGTGAAATTAAATTTTTGAAATAAAAACTGTGTATCTAATCTACAAAAACCAATTCATTCATTTTGATTTCTGCTTTTGAGTAGTAACAAAATGAATCACGTTCTTCCAGCAGAAATCCCCAAACCAAAAGAAAGTATGGAACTGAACTCAACATGAGGCTACACTTTTTCTGATGTTATTATTATCGTTCTCGACCGGAAAAAGGTGGCTTGCCCTCTCCAGTAGTTTTAAGAACTTCTTTGTGATAGGACAATGGTAAGAAGTTGTTAGCTGTACCTTGACATGTTTCGGCGTTCCATCTGTCGCCTTCTTCAGAAGTGTCATCTGACGTGTGTGACGTGTCTTTATCAGCTGTTTTTCCTAGGTGTGGCCAAACTGACAGTTCCAGTGGGTGTGTCAGTTTGGCCACACCTACCGCCGCGCGGCGGTCTCTGGAGCAGAGCGTCCCAGGTGTGGGATAGAAGGAACGCTCCATCATCTCTATTGATGGTGTGTGAGCCTCGCTTCCTGATTTCAATGGATTCCCGGATCCAGCGCCTGTATTTATGCTCCTCAGTCTCTATACGCCGCATGGAGAAGACCAAAAGAGCTCTAGGAGCTCTGGCCTGGGAACGCCTAGGGGTCCCCCTGGAAGAGCTGGAGGAGGTTTGTGCTGATCGGGAAGTCTGGGCAGCTCTGCTCAGGCTGCTGCCTCCGCGACCTGACTCCGGATAAGCGGGAGAGGATGGATGGATGGATGGTTGGATATTATATCATGGTTCCTAAAATGTCCAATTGAAGCTGACTCCAAAGCTTTGTTAGCCCCCATTAGTCCCATTCACCTTTCTCCTTCCATGCCACTATCTGCACATTACTGTTTTCAGAATTCCATTTGTGACTGGAAACGAAAATCCACCATCTCCGAGCAGCGACATGCTAACTGAAAACGGCAAGTTGAGGACTACAGGGTTAGCTTCTCCTCACATATCCAAATGTAGCTTAAATCCCTTCTCTGGACGACATATCCTTATATTCCAGACAATTGGTAATAAAAATACATTTTAAAAAAACATGTGGACTCATCATAAACCTTTGTTTAATCATCAGTGACAGGACAATAAGAGTCTTACTTTTGCCGTTAAACTTCTCTATCTGCAGTGCTGAAGTACGAAAGTGTTCGTCTGTACAAACATCATCTCAAACTTGTTCCATATTAGATAAACAGTTGTAGAAGTCTGTCTGAGTGGGATGAGGGTGAGATGCATCCTACCAGAACTAATGAACCACAAGCTCTCAGATTTGTTAATGTAAAATGCTAAATGGTCTATGGTTATGTAGCGCCATTTAACTGTAGCACTTCTACTAAGTGCTTTATAATTTTCTTATTCATCCGTGCACAGACAAACTCGCACTCTTTAGTATGTAGAGGAGCAAATGGTCAATCTGCCGCCCCAGTATCAAACTGCTGGGGATTTCTCACAAAATAGGCAATGACAGCTCGCTTAGACATTTCTAGCAAGTTTCAAGAAGGTTGCTGAGGAGGAGGAGCAGGAGGAGCAGGAGGAGCAGGAGGAGGAGGAGGAGGAGGAGGTGGTGGAAGAAGTGTTTATTCAGTTGAAGTAGCAGTCGAGTAATGTAAAAATAAACAACTACAAGTAGTTTGCAGTACAAAAATATCATCAGATGTGTCAGAAGTAAAAAAAAAAAAACAACAAAAAAAAGAAAGAAAAACTCCTGTGTGTGATATTCTTTTGTGCGGCATTGTTTTTATCACAAAGTTTTTTTTCGTTTGAAAAATTAAAAGTGTACCTCTGAACATCCATTATCCATCCATTATCTATACACCGCTTAATCCTCACTAGGGTTGCGAAGGGGGGGCTGGAGTCTATCCCATCCGACTTAGGGTGAAGGCAGGGGACACCCTGGACAGGTCACCAGTCTATCACAGGGCCACACGTAGAGACAGACAACCGAGCACACTCACATTCACACCTACGGACAATTTAGAATCACCAATTAACCTCAACAATGTTTTTGGACTGTGTGGGAGGAAGCCGGAGAACCCGGAGAGAACCCACGCTGCACGCGGAGAACATGCAGAAAGATTCCGGTGCCCCCACCGGGATGCGAACCGGCAACCTTCGTGCTGCGAGGCAACAGTGCTACCAACTGCGCCACCCTGCAGCCCTACCTCTGCACATATGTGTGTTTATTTAAGCACAGACCCAGACTTTCAGTATCTAAAACTTTCAGTTTGGTGCCTATTCAAAATCCAACAAAAACTAATTACTCTTTTTTTTTTTTTTTCCCTGTCATTTTCTGTCCTGAAGCTACTTCCCGAGCTGACCAACCCAGACGAGCTGCTGTCCTACCTGGGCCCCCCCGACCTCCCCAACAACAGCAGCGACGACCTGCTGTCTCTGTTCGAGAACAACTGATGTGACATTCACGTCTACGCTGGTCATCTTCCAGTCCAGCCTCTGCTTCTGTGTGCCGCCTGAAGGCAGCACCAGATCTGTTTGCACCCTCTACCTGTGCGTGCACGTGTGTCTATGTGTGCGTGTGTTTGTGTGTGTGGGTATGGTATGGGTGTGTGTGTGTGTGTGTGTTTAAGCAAGCGTGTGTGGTGGTGTTTTTGTGTATCCTTGTCTTTCTGAAGTGTCCTGCTGTACTCTGAAGCTCTGTCAGTACAGTGTGGATTTGGGATTGAACACTGAGTATGAAGAATCTAACAGTACGCAGACACCGACTCTGCAGACCAGCATTTTAAACTATAGCACAAACCACAAGCTGGAGGATTCTATTTATAGGTTTTATAAGTGGAGGATAATGGAAGTTAATGGACACATTAATACAGTGGTTCCTAAACTCTGACTACTGGGCTCTTACATGCACCCAATATTAACAGACACTGTCTTTGCTGCATATCATGCGCATGTCGCAACATTGTCTGAGCTTTTACTGCAACTTATCTTTCTAAGTTTATGCTATAAATCCAGATGTTTTTAAACTCACTAAAAAGAAAAATTGATTCAGATCCCAGAGTTTCCAAACACATCCAGCTGAAGTTGGTGAAATTTATATGACACTCAAAGGACATTCTGAGACTTTTCTGTGATATGCAACCCGAACCAAAGCCACACCTAAATTTAACAGGTTCTTCGTTTGCCTGTGCTCCACCTCTCGAAATGGCTTGGCAGTCTTTGTGGCTGCTGACAGACATGAATTCTTCATTGCAGGGTCTCTCACCTGAGCCTCTCAGAATCAGCTGATTTTTTTGTACAATAACTTCAGTATATTTTTCCACAAAGAAAAAATCCCCGACTGCCTGAAATGGCTTACATGTAAGTTCTTAAACAACACCTTGTGTCCTTCCTTGTCTTGGCCCAATAACACTGCAGTGTCAGTCTAGGTGATTTCATAATACAAAGCAAACACCAATAATAATAATTTACCCCTTATTGATGATGTTATTATATTTATATTATGTCCAACTTCAGGGAAAAACAACAGAGGCACAGCAAATAATTAATGAGGCCGTTGTTGATGCTGGTATCAAGTATCTCAATCCTGACTGTTGCATATCTGCGTTGCAAGAATTTATCAGAGCAGCACACCACAATACTTTGAAGATTGGAAAATGCCTTGAGTCTTAAGAAAAACTCAAGTTCAACTGATGGTCCTTTCTACAAATACCAACAAAGTTTGGGAACCGTTGTAATATTCTGTATTATTCTTATTGTCAACAAATCACATGAAAGCACTGAAACCAACTCTGCGTTCAGCCATCTCTCAATACTTGGACTTATCTTGTGCCTACTAAAGATATTTAAAACCAAGTTCATTTTTGTAATTTCCTGAAACAACTTCAGATTTCTTGAAAGTGACCAAAACAGGAGGAAACTAGCTGGGGACTATTTTCAATAGCAGATTAATCCACATTTGGTGCAAGAACAAGAACATGATGCTCAACCTCTTGCTTTAGTCTGTGAGGCTTCTTTTTTTTTTTTTACAAATGTTCCAATTGTGATTTACCAAAAACTGTTGAATATCACCTGTTCTTGACTTTCTAACCATTACCAAAGAGTAAAAACAAGATTTTCAGACCGCAGATCATCAAGTCCTGCTTTCAAAAACCCAAAAGTTAAAAGGTTAGCAGTGCTATTTATTGTTTTGGAGGAGGTGAAACTATTAGAAAATATTAATAAATAAAGGAGTATCAGGGTCATTGTAAGTGATCACACTTGATTTTAGTTTATTTTTTTCTATAGTTTTGTATTTGCCTTCTTGACCAGGTATCCCAGTGTAGAGATTTTAAATCTGAAAAGATGTTGTGGATCATTGAAGGCTGAATAAAGAGTCAACTCAAATGAAATCAGCTTTCAGAACCAGAGGGTAGGATGTACAATTATGAAGAAAGGAAAAAAAAAAAGAGGCCACTTTGATCCATTTTGCAAGTTTAAATAAACCTCATCACACCATAGATGCTGCCGGTTAACAAGGAACACCATGAGGTGGTGCAACATGTGGAACCTCATATTGTAGTTTGGTATCAACTCATCCACATCTGAATGTTTATTTCTGAACAGGCCTCGTTCATGACGATGTCTTTTCAAAGGTTGGGTGTTGATTATATGGTGGCATTTCTGGGCTCTTATTTTCTCATTTTTAAATCTGATGGCAAACGATCATTTGATTAGTTCGTCCACTGTAGCTATAATTTGTTTGTTTTTGTTTTTAACTGCAATGACCCTGATACATCTTCCTGAATTACCTGCAGGAGTAAAGAGTTAAACAAATCTAATCTAATCTAAGTTAGTAATGTTATTGTGTTAAAACTGCTATAAAATGTTTCAAATTAAAACATCATGATTTCAGGTGAAATGAGTGTTTTCACCCTTGTGGAAACTGGTAAATTCGAACTCTATGTTTGTATAAGCAGTTCTTGCATGTGGACAGTGTTTAAAAGTAGTGATAGTTTTGCTCATAAAACTAATAAAACTATGTAACAATAAAATTAACAATTATGAAAAATAATTATTATCCAAATAAGTAACAATACATTTAGTATTTAGTTCAATTTAAACAAAATTTTAGTGAAATGCAGTATCATGTCTCTGTCATATGTGTCATATGTATCAGTCTAAATTCAGATTTTCAAAATTTAATTTTAGATTAAATTTGTGTCATTTTAAAAAGTTAAAATTGGTCAATTCTACAAATAATTTGGGAACCAATCTGTTTGAACCAATGCTCTTGCATGGGGCCTGATATTTGTGAGCATTGTTGCTGGTTTTATTCATAAGTCCAATAAAAAGCAAGAAAAAATATTAATGTAATAACATTTTAGTAAGAATTATCATATAAATAGTTATTATAGTACACTAATAAAAATGGATTTGGTCAACTAATTCAAATTTTATTTAATTACAGTGTCATGTTCATGCTCTAGTTTAGATTTTAAAAAAATTTAATTTCAGGTGTTTTCAGTGAATGCTACAAATATCTTTGAACTGAACTGCTACCAAAGTTGCTCTTGCAGAACTTGTTACGATAATTGTTAAAGTTTGGTCCTAAAACCAAATAAAAATTGTAATTCACTGTAGAATAATAAGACTCAATAATTATTGGGATAATTATTATAATAATAACATCATGAGAAATCGTCAAAATAAATACAACAAGATTAACAGAAAACATTGGTCAGTTAATTATGATATCATGTTCAAACTCTAAATGAATTCAGGTTAAGACGCTATGATTTCAGGTGAAATTACTGTTTGTATCCTTGTGTAAATTGGTGAGTGGTGCAGATAGCTTGAGAATATGTGGTTCTTGCACGAGGCCCAGAATTGTTGGTTTTGGTTATTTTATGTGAATTATTAACAATAAAAAAAATATTTAGAATAGCAAGCATTTCATTTTGAACATTGTGAGGACGACGAGATGAAGAGGATCCAAGCATGAACTGATCATTGAGTAAACCAGAGAAAATACAACCCACATGTACAGAAGACATTTAGAATATGTGACGCTGGGAGAGTGCTGAGGTTCATTGTGTCTCTGACGTCCTTCAGCACTGTGAAATATGAAAATAACCCCCCCCCACCACCACCACCACCACCACCACCACTGTTTTCCTCTGTTGGTTCACCCTCTCTGGGGGGTTTCAAGCTGTGTGTCGTGGCATTTTCTGCCATCTGAAAGCTGTTTGTATGTTTTTAAATGGTTTGACATGTATAACCCATCATGACGCGGGTTTGTGTCCTGTATAATCAGCTGTTTTCATTAGAGAACGTGTGTGTACCAAATGAATTGTTAATCATGGTAATTTTAATGTTATTAGTTGGATAATGGATCATTGTTGGCACTGTATACATACTGTATGTTAGAAAACTATAAAGCAACTGTAAAAATGTCACAGTCATACGTACATTCGTGATGCATGTATGACAGAAAACTTACAGTCAGCTGACATTGAGTTAATGCAGTTACAGAGGTTGAAATTATTCTTAATACCACTTTTTAAAGCTGACGTTTTTTCTATGAAGGATTTTCCGACTGTGGTCCGACAAGGCAGCAATGAACAATGTTCAATTTGAGCAACACAATAATGTTATATTTGGAAAATATGGACTATTTAACTGCAAATTTGCTAGGAAAAAAAAGTTTTTTAATATGTAAACTATTCCACATATTTTGTAACACATTGTAATTGCCATTATTTTCTATTTATTTTTTAATCATAATCATCATTGTACCTACAGTTATTTTGTCCTCCTCCTGAAACTCAGAATCAGAATTAAAAATCACTTTATTTGACAAAACGGTGTGTTTTCGATATTTACAAATGACTCAGATGTGTATGGAAGCAAAGCATATATTGATCTGTATAAGAAACTGAAAACCGAATGACAACATTTCATCAGTTCAATTTAATTCATTGTAATTTACAAAGGTGAACAAAAGTTTACATCATGGCAGCCTTGAGTTTCCAGTGACTCTTATAACTCTTAATTTTCTGTGATGGAATCATTGAAACCTATGTGTCTTTGTCACCATCAACCATCAGGCATTATGGCTCTTTCATAGATTTATGAAAATCTGCAGGGTGGCGCAGCTGGTAGCACTGTTGCCTCGCAGCAAGAAGGTTGCCGGTTCGCGTCCCGGTGGGGGCACCGGAATCTTTCTGTGTGGAGTTTGCATGTTCTCCCCGTGCAGCGCGGGTTCTCTTCGGGTTCTCCGGCTTCCTCCCACAGTCCAAAAACATGTTGAGGTTAATTGATGATTCTAAATTGTCCGTTGGTGTGAATGTGAGTGTGCTTGGTTGTCTGTCTCTAAGTGTAGCCCTGTGATAGACTGGTGACCTGTCCAGGGTGTCCCCTGCCTTCACCCTAAGTCGGCTGGGATAGGCTCCAGCCCCGACGCGACCCTAGTGAGGATTAAGCGGTGTATAGATGATGGATGGAAATCTACTGGGTCAAAAATATACATACAGCAATTTGAATGATCAGTTTTGGAGATGTCGACAGTTGTGTTAACGCTTCTTAGACCATGTTTACACATACGGATGTTTACACAAAAATGGATCCACTTTTTCAAAAATAACATTGTGACACAAGATCGTTTTCAAAAAAGTCTTAGTTTACACAAACCTACATAAACGCGTCGTTAAAAGCTGCTATGAGCATGTCAAACCTATAGGGGGCAGTGTAACACGAAGAATAAAGCCATGCTAGCCAATCAGAATCCTGGCTAAGCTCCACCTGTGCCAGCTGGCTTACCAAACAAACCCCTTTTACTCAGCTTTTCACACAGGAACTCTTTAATCTTACTTTTCTTTGCATTTAGAGGCACATGCACATACAAAAAAAGGCAATCAAAACCAGATCAGCCTTTCTACACCTATTCATTGTCAACTCGTCTCCTCTGTGGTTTCCTGGTGGTGGAACAACTTACCAAACTGTTCAATCTACTGACTCCCTCTCAGTCTTTAAGAAAAGATTAAAGACCCAGCTTTTCACTGAACACCTTCGCACTTGACAGACTAACAACAAAAAACCAAACGAAAACAAAACAAAACAACTAGAGAGCCTTCAGTAGAGGGACATAGTTGCCAAATGTATGCATGATCTTGACCTTTGTCTCAAGGTCATATGTTATATCACCAGTTTATAGGCCTCAAATGTCTTCCTAAGTTAGTTTACTAAGCTTATGTCTTTTTGTGCATTTTCAGTCATACAGAGCTGTTTTTGTCAAATGTGACCCAATGCATGTATTGACCCCAAACTCTAATCACTGAGAGAAAGGACCATATACCAAAGTCATATATGAAGTTTCAGGTTCAAACTCCTCTCCTGTAAAGTGCTAGACTGTTAACAGACAAAAAAACATTTACACACACACGGGCCCAATTACTCTATAGTTGCCCATCGATGGGCAACTATAACTAAAAAAGTCCTCCCACACAGCCTGCTATTGGCATCAACGCCCTATCACACTTGAACTTGTTCTATGGCACTTATCCAGATTGTTTTCTCCTGACTAGATTCTTGCTTGTTTTCTATCTGCTATCAGATGTATGTTGCTTTGGATTAAAGCATCTGCAAAATGAAACTGTAGAATTGTATTCAATTGTCCAGACAGACAGACAGACAGACCGACAGATATACTTTATTAATCCCCAAGGGAAAATGTAGTTGCTACAGTGCAAAGATAAAGTTACCACCACCGTAAATGCCGATAAATAAGCAAAAAATAAACAATAGGAAAATATAAAATGCAAAATGTACAATATGTGTAATATGTCAAGTAGAAATGTCCTGTGTGAGTTTAGTTCAAACAGTAATGTGAAATGAAAAAAAAAGAAAAGAAATGAAAAATACTTTATTTATCCCAGAAGGGAAAAACAAAACAAGAGTACAACAGAAGTGTGCAAAAGGCAATTTCAATGACGGAACCAGATGCTACAAGGCAGAGAGGGCTGAGAGTTCTCTGCCAGCCAGGAGTGATGTGTTGAACAGGGTTAGTGCCTGTGGCAGGAGAGATTTCCTGTATCTGTCCTTGTGTCAGCTGTGGAGCTGGACCAGCTGGACCAGCTGCCCCGCTGCCTTTCCAGCAGGGGGTGAAGCGGGTGGTAGTGATGGGACATACTGTGCCGAGGCTTTGGAGCGTGTGTCGAGAAATCCAGGAAGTCCATCAATGAAGTGCGTGACGAATTAAGCCTCACTGGTTTAGGAAAGGGTTCGAGTGTTGGCGTGATTTCTGAATATAAAGTGCAGTGAATTTCCGCAAAATTTGCTTATCAGTGTTTACGTTGGAGTTTTGCTAATTTGCCTGTGACATAGAGAAACTAGTTTTCAAGGAGCCTAAAGGTAGAACGGTTCCCCTTGTATGGCAAGACTTTGAGCTGATCTCTTCCAATAATATACCTGTAAATAATAAAATGGGTTACTGCTATAATATTCACATGTGAAAGGGTTTTCTCCAAAGCCAGAGAAGTTATTTCCAAAAGCCGACTTAGGGCAAAGGCAGAGCTCACCCTGGACAGGTCGTCAGTCTATCACAGGGCTACACTTAGAGACAGACAACCAAGCACACTCACATTCACACCTACGGACAATTTAGAATCACCAATTAACCTCAACATGATTTTGGACCTTGTAGGAGGAAACCGGAGAACCCGGAGAGAACCCACGCTGCACGGGAAGAACATGCAAACTCAGAAAGATCCCGGTGTCCTAACCGGGACGCCAACCGGCGACCTTCTTGCTGCGAGGCAACAGTGCCACCAACTGCGCCACCTTGCAGCCCATGAATGAACCAACCACACAAAATCAGATTAAGGTGTTTTTATTTCTATTCTTGGGACTGATTTTTCCCATGCTGACACTGTTGCAAGACAGCCATCACAAATAGTTTATTATTTATTTCTGCCAGTTTTCTTTTTTCTGAAAACCGAGACTTCCGACTGTGATGTTGTTGTGTGTATGGAAGCGTATACTTAATGACAATAAGAATGATTCAGGTTCTGATAGTTGAAATGACAATAATTTTTTTGGTCAGCAGGGGGGTTTGTGTGCACATGAAGCCTCGAGAAATGAACCTTTTTTGAACCAATTGCATAGAAAGCGTCAAGGCTTCATGAGGCTTCATCTGACCATCACTAGCGGGTGGTCGGATTATCCAGGATGGACAACAGCTTATTTCAAGTCCTCCTTTCTACGACAGCTTCAAAACAGTCTGGTTCACAGCCAATCACAGAGCCGGCTTTCCTGATCAGTTTGTTCAGTCTGTTCTCATCACCGGCTCTGATGCTGCTCCCCCAGCAGACCACCGCAAAGTACAGGGTGCTGGCCAGACTGGTAGAAAACCTCCAACATCCTGCTGCATCTGTTGAAGGATCTCAGCTTCCTCAGACAACAGAGTCTGCTCATCCCCTTCTTGTACACAGAGTCAGTGTTGGTCCTCCAGCTCAGTCTGCTGTCGAGGTCGACACCCAGGTACTTGTACAACTGCACCATGGCGATGTCCTCACCCAGGATGTGCAGTGGCTGTGTAGCTGTCCTCTTCTTCTGGAAGTCAGTCACCATCTCCCTGGTCTAGGCCACAATGAAATGCAGATGATTCCTACCGGACCACTTACCCACCAGAGCCCTATACTCCTTCTCCTGTTCATCTCTAACACACCCTACAACTGAGAGACAACTTCTGCAAGTGGCATGACCCGGAATTGTACTGAAAGTCAGAGATGTATAATGGAGACAGCACAGTGCCCAGTGGACCACTAACCACCACATCAGACAGCGCGCTGCCCAGACGGACAAACTATCTGTCAGCTAATCAGTGATCCAGGAGACGGTGGGCGTGTCTACATCATGGGCAGCTATAAAAATATATCGTTATTTTTGTTATGGTTTGGCATAACAGAGGCTCGCCCCTCTGCTCCGCCCTCCCGGAGCCTTTCTGACTAGTCATTGGTCTGCTGTAGAGCCTGTCGGAATGTCGGGGCTGTGATTGGCTGTGTGCGGGATTGACGTCCCCGCTGCAGCGCTTTCTTAAACGCTGAACTGAAGCACCGAAGCGAAGCTGACGCGTTGTCAGGGTTCATTGAGAGCGACTCCTCATCCCAGCCTGCGCGCACTGACACGACCATGGGAAACCCCAAAGTGTTCTTTGACATCTCCATTGATGGCTCTCACGTCGGTAGGATTACCATGGAGGTAAGATCCGCATGTTCACCTCTCTGACCTCAGTTTAGTTCCATTTAAGCTTTACAGGTTTTAAACGCATGACCGACATGTTGCAGTGCGTCAACTTCTCCCCTGCAGCTTCCAGTCTTCCATGTTGTTAAAATTTGGTACACCAGACTCTATTTCATACTAATATAGTACATTTAACTGTGTGACTGTCCAGAAAGCAATTGAATCGGATAAAAGCCTTCAGAAGGATCAGCCTGTGAGCTGCAGGAAACGCCCAGCAGCAGCAGCAGCAGCAGCAGCAGCAGCAGGACTGCAGCTGGAATCTGCAGGTCACTGGAGCTGCTGTGTTATCTCACAAACGTTTCCACATTTCCAATGTTTAGTTTTCATATTTTTATTGTCATAGTTTCGTATGTGGGCCTACATATTTTACTTTCCTACTTGGCTGCATGGTAAATGAGGCCTTAATGGTTCCTGTGTTTAAATAAACATTGAAGGAATTTTTAATGATGAACATGATGTCTGTTTTTAGCTGTTCAGATGTGAAGATTTCTTGCTTTTCTTCTGAGAGTAAATTACCATTTGATTGAGTATCTTTTGGTTCGTGTGTGTCTGTATGACAAAATAACACATTATTATTCTTACTATTATTACTATTCTTAATATTGTTGTGTTGTTGTTGCTAGTACAAACATTTCCCTGAGGTTTCCACCTATTCTATTCTATTCTATTCTATTCTATTCTATACGTTGCATTGGCCGGTTCGCGTCCCGGTGGGGGCACCGGAATCTTTCTGCGTGGAGTTTGCATGTTCTCCCCGTGCAGCGTGGGTTCTCTCCGGGTTCTCCGGCTTCCTCCCACACAGTCCCGCGCCTACAAACGTGAACCTTTTGGCGCCGCTAGAGGGCGAAAAGT